GGCTCTGAGGAGGCTTTAGCTGGAGTACAGTACTGTGTGCAATTCTGTGTGTCACACTTCAGGAAACGTGGAGAGAGAATGCAGAGGAGAACAACAAAAATGATAAAAAGGTTTAGAGAACCTGACCTATGAGGAAAGTTAAAAAATACTGGTCTTGTTTAGTCTTGAGAAAAGACTTGAGGGGGGACCTGACAACTGTCTTCATATTTGTTAAAGGCTATTATAAAGAGAACGCTGATCAATTGTTCTCCATGTCCACTGAAGGTAAGAAAAGAAAGTAATGGACTTAATCTGCAGCAAGGGAGATTTAGGTTAGATATTAGGAAGAACTTCCTAACTATAAGGGTAGTAAAACTGTGGAATAGCCTTCCAGGGGAGGTTGTGGACTCTCCACACACAAAAATTAGCTTCACGCAGATACCCAGCACAGACAATTACAGCCTGAACAATTAATATTTGTCAAAGTTAAAAGCAGCTGAAAATGGGTCAGGCATCCTTAATCATAGGCAGTGCTATAATTAATTACTATTGTATAGCACTTTTCATCAGTAGATCTCAAAATGCTTCACAATCTAATTCATTTTTCATCACAACACCCCTGTGAGGTAGGGAAGTGCTGTCATCCCCATTTTCACACACACACACAAGCTACAAAGCCCATCTGTTTGACAAGGGATTACAAGAGGGCAGGAGCTGTTGAGGCTAGGATTTCTGGGTAATGGGAAAGTGCAGTGAGCGGGTTTAACCTGTATTGGTCACGTGAATAGTAGTCAAATGATAGATGGCAACAATGGAGAAAAAAGTGCTGATGCTTTGCCTGACTTCTACATCTTTGTCCTCTATGTCCTTGTGTTTTTATATGCAGAAGTTTGAAAGGGTGGCCTGTGATGTCAACTTTGTGTAAGACCAAAATCTAAATAAATAAAAAGTACATATGTACATATATTATGGCAAGGGGTGTACTGCTCCCTGCTGTGTGATGCATACATACATTGCTCCCTCCTATGTGATTTAAATGACAGTCGCACATCATGAATAATAAGTTGTTAAAGTAAACAGTCCATGACTAACCCATAGTTGTGTATCAGGTTCTCCATCTGTAAAATAGTGATGATAATCTTTAAATACCATTGTAGGTTATTACAAACTACTGCAGCAGTAAAGAAATCACCTGAAGCAGGTAGTATGCACAAGTACTCTATAAATAAAACTGGAGAATGTTACCTTTAAAGTAAATGTACTCAGCCATACACTGTACTAGAAATGTAAAATTTTATCTTCCAAGCCCTTTTTCGGTATACAATTTATTCCATGGTAAAGGATCTACAAATGTCAAGATCCTGAATTAGACTTCTTACAGAGGAACTCATTTATTTGAATAGGTTCATATGCCTTAAGCCCAAGAGCTTCTGACAAACTTATATATTATTAGTGAAAGCATTCAACCTAGTATTTAATCTCATCCACCAGTTCTTTCCATTTTATTGTTTTGGGAGGCTATTGTTTCATGATTACATCCTTGGCTTGCCAAAGAAAATCTGGTTGACAGAGGCAGGGTATGAGACCTAAAATAGCTTTGTAGTCTTTCCTTCCAAGTGGGTCAGTAGATTTTTTTTTTAATATAATTTCTGTGTATACAATACAACACCTGTTTGTTCTCAGTTATGAACATGCTTTTTTTCTGTAATAAAAATTCACCAGCATATTTATATTGGGTGCCTTCTTATACTACTCTTTGCGATAATGAAAAAAAAAGTGGATAGTGTGGTGGATAGTGTTTCACTCAAAAGCCATCTGTAGTCTAATTCTGATGTGCCTCATGTCACTGTGTGAAAAGAAGAAGAGCCGGGGGAGAGGAAGGGCCACGTACCATCAATTCCGTCTGTGTCTTGGGGCTTCAGGCCTGTAGGGGGAAGGAGGTGGTCATGTTCTGCCCCTTCTCTGCTGCCACACTTGCTGACACCTATAACTGTTGAAAGTGTATGCCAATTTGAGGAGCAATTCCTTCCATCTTATAGCTGGCAGTTGGTCCAAGACCAAGCAGGAGGTAGCTGAAAAGGGCTCGCTGTAGGCTTCTGCTGCCTTGCAGTTAATGTAGCTCCACAAATACGGGACCAGCATGATAACTCATATCTGACAGTGACTGCACCTGAAGCTGAGAGACAACCAGAGTTAGAACCCTCACCTGGGTTTGTCTACCAGATTCTAACAGTTTCTCACTTTTTTGTGGTTTGTTTATGTTTATTATACTTCGATTATAAACTCTTTGAGACAGGGATTTCCTCTTCATTATACATATATATTGGGCACAATGGGGACCTGATCCCTTATCTCCAGTGCTACCACAATATAAATACTAAAATATGAGCCACTGCCTGCCATTTTTTATATATTATATAGATAATGTGTGTGTGTGTGTGTGTGTGTGTGTGTGCAATATAATGTGTGTGTGCATATCTCTAAAATAGCCCAGTTGTCTTGATTGTTGTTGCCCTGTGTGAACAAAAATACTTCCACACAATAAACCTTGCATTAGATTTTATAGACTTCTCACAAAGGCTTTTTTTTATGTACTGTATATATTAACCACCTCTTCAGTTTAAAATGCAAAACCATTCAGTCTTAAGCAATAGTGTTTGCATGTTTTAACTGGTGTCTTAAATGTTTCAACTTATGTTAAATTGCAAAAAGTAAATGGCTCTTTTTCTGTAGTTTGTGTGTGTGTTGTTTTCTTCTTTCAAAATACTCCATAGTCCATTGTCCCTTTCATGTGAGGTATTAAGACAGCATAAACTGCTCTCCAAGTTACTGGGAGTTAAGAATACTTAGCTCCTCTCAGAATCAGATCCTATATTTGCAGGAACAATGTATTGATTTGGTTGACTCTTGATGTGTGACAAATGACAGGAACGAGAAATGAAACTTTCTAAATGTGAAGTGAATCGTGCTTCTGATGATATATAGATGATTTAGGGCAGGGGAAAGCAATCAGTCATTCCTGGTAACGTACTTAGATACAGGCTAATATACAGTAGAACAATAACTCTCTTACAATCATATTACATTTTAAATCAAATAGACAGTGCCTTCTGCTAGGAATCTTCTTGTACAAAATGAATGATGAAGTATTAGTCTTGGTGTGCTTTACATGCTCGGTGTGCAGGATCCATAAGTGTTCTGATCATTTAGAAATATTGATCTATTACTCATTCTTTTTATGTTTTCTTTATCATTGTTATAAGTTGATTTTTTTTCCAGGCTGCTATTACTCTTTAAAATTGCCTGGGCATTAAATCATTTAACTAGCAAATAGAGATGTCTTGAAGCCTAAATACCTGCTGACATTGTATATTATGTTCACAGGTAATTGGACCTATAACTATTACTGGCAAAACATCCACCGGGGAAATGAATGCATCAGTTCATTTTACTGGCTGATGTTTTGTAGGTATTAGGTTTGTCTCAGATTACCTGTACGTATTTTAGCAGTACACAATGGCATTCATTTGCAATTCCCCCTGTAATATTCCTCTCTCCTCCTCCATGCAGTGAAATCAATGGGACTATTCATTCTACCTAGACCGGGGAAAGAAATGTTTTAATGGGGTTCTGAATACTTGTAGACATTTCCTAAAATTCTTTCTTCTGTTACTGATGAATATTAACAGCTTTTTCATTCAACACCATTTTAACTTCTCTGTAGCATAAATGTTCTCTAGTGCCTTAAATAGCAGGGGGTTGTGCACAGCTTTACCACAGCGAAATTGAATGTTTTGGAATCTTTTGCTTAGATTCTTGTGGCAAGATTTTCAAAAGAGCTCAACTCCCCTCACGGTACCTAAATGAAGAAGCCAGATTTCCAGAAGTGCTCAGCACCTGGCAACTCCCATTGAGAACACAGGAGTTGTTTAAACTGACACACTCTTTCTTGAAGAAACTAAAGGGAAAGTTGGAATGCTTCAGAAAGTGTTGGCAGAGAAATCAACAGCCATTTGTTGGGTGAACCCAAGTTTGAGTGGGAGACGTGTAATTAAATATCCATTAGGAAAGATTCAGAAAAGGACTTGTAATAAGTTGTGTTTCATAAAAGTTTGGCTTAGGATTTTAAAACACTTTCTTCAATCTATTTTCCCAAATGAAAAAATATTTATCCTGATGTTTTAATGTGTACACACCATGCAGTTTATAGACACTAATAAACTTGTTTTGCTAATTTATTTTTTGTTTTCTTTTCCTATTCTTTGTATAGTTCTAAAGTACAGTAATTAACCCTGACATCAAAACATGCTGTTGATTTCTTCCTAGAGGGCGCAAGAAGATCTCCTAGAATCCTGAGCTTAATGTTGAAATTAAATAAATGTTAATTTGGAATATGGTGTGAGCAGATGTTTTCCTAGCAATTTTCCTATAAATAAAAGTAAACTGCACAATAAATCATGTAGAATCCTTTTGCATAACCTCTCAAAGGACACTGTTTTTACATTTTTTTTCATAGCATACAACTGCCTTTCTTTACTGATCTGTGCTGGCGTGTTTGTTGCTGCATTTTTATTTTTTTACCTTTGAAAACAGAAATTTAGATTCTAAAGATTTAACAGAGATGGCGGTAGACCAGAAAACATTATATCTCATTAAAATGTTCACCTCTTTACTGGAAAAGAAACCATGAATAGGGAAGGAAAAGGGCATCATGATGACCTGATCTATTGCAGAATTTCCAGGCATCTTTGGTAAAAACCCTTTTAGGCATTGAAGTATGATCAGAGACCTGAGTACATAGAATAAGGGATTTTTGTTCAGGATAAATGTGTAGACAATTGTTTCCATTGAAACATGGAAGAATAAAACATAGTAGTCGGTCCTCTAAATCTGTCTTTAACAAAGTCCATCCATGCACCCCTTACCCTAGTCTCCCCCTTTTTTGAGAGTGAGCGAGAGAGAGAGAATGAGAGAATGAAGCACATTTCCTCATAGCACTTGAAATCAAGGATTCTGCACAGAGTAGAAACATCTTGTTAGTAACCAGTGTCCCACTTTTTGTCATCAGTTTCTTTGGTAGGCAGATCTTCATTTGCTCTTCATTCTGGAGTAGCTGCTGCATAGCATGAAAAGAAAGTCTTCTTTCTAGATGGCAGTGGGGGAAATTACAACAGATTTGGTTATAAGTGGAGTCAGCTTTAGATAGATTCCCCCCCCCCCAAAAAAACAGTTTTCACACAAACTTATGTGGAGTACATTGAGTACAGTAACATGCAGAAGATGCTGGAGGACCAAAGGACTAACCCTAACAATGTGCGATGCACATTTACCATGAGTAACATAGTGGAGTGATGAATATAAAGGGAGTAGAAAACCCTGTAAGTGGTTATCAGTTGCATTTTCCACATAAGTTACAGTCCATTAATTCAGAAATTACAATGGTATCGATTACAGAGCCAGATGTGGCAAAGGGAAAAATGTATGCCTTGCCTATGTGTTCCTTAAACATGTCCAGCAACTCCGGCCCATGAGTTTCAGGCTGTCTCTCTTGGAAAGAAACATTTAAAGTATTGCACATTCTTCCATATCTACCTTTAGATATTTCCAGGCTGCGGACAAAAGAGAATAGGGTTCATTGAAAAAATGAGGGATTGAGAGGGGGTTCTTGTGTAATTAGGCAGTTTTCAGGAAAGCATAATTAAGCTGTGAAATGCTTTATTTCCCCTACAGAACAAAATAATTCCCATCTCTGGAGTAAGTATGTAATTTGCTTTTTTAATCATCTAGCCAATATAGTAGAAGAATTTCAACCCAATCTGAACTATGGAAGTTGTACAGAAGCTTTGCTATCCATCGGAAAATATCTGTGTGTGCTAAATACAATGCACTGTTGATTAATGCTCTGAAACCTTAAAGTCCACTATGTAGCTTTCTATGAAGATAATTTTCTGTAGTATACTAATGGTTCTAGTTTCCAAATATGTAAACGACTAGCAGCACGTGGATCTTGAAGATCAAAAAGCATGTTGATCATTGGTTATTGTGGCAACTGTAGCACTTCAGGAGCATCAGTATAACTCGTTCTTCAATCATGCGTGATGCTTCCTGGACCACACGTGATCAGGCTCCTGTCGACAGATTGCAGTGATCTTGGTTCTTTCCCATACTTGCATTATTTTAGACTATTAGACATCTACTGTATTTATAAATATCAAACACCATGACCTTCCATGAGGACTCTGTTCTATAAAAAAAATCACTGTGGATGCTTGCCAGTGCTGAACTTTGCCAACTTTAATCCTATTGATGGCATTGCCTAGTTCACAGGCAGAGAAAGGGATGATCCATTTGGTGTAAAGGTTGTCCATCCAAACTACACTTGGCTCCTCTGGCAAACCTACATGTGACAGGGGGAAAAGGTCTCTAAGTGAAACAAAGGAGAAAAATCATGTCCTGTAATAAATGAGCGATCAATTTTTGGGTCCTCTCTACTTGAACTCAACCCCATGTCACTTATGGAGGTTCTGGGTATGTTGGGGAGAATGTCCTGCTGAATCTTGAGCTATGGATCCTTACTCTTCCTAGTGGAGAAGTATTGGGTCCTTTACCAGTAGCGTTTGCCAACCAAAACTAGTCAAATTTCTGAGGAAAAACAAAATTTCACAAAAATGTGCACATTTTTTCTCCATTTTCTGACCAGGTTTTTTGTCAATGTCAATTGCTGACAATCTGTTCAATCATTGACTGACATGTAACGTTTTTAATTGTGACTAAGATTAAGGAAATGTTGTGGCAAAACATCTCTAAATATCCTGATTTCTCCGACTTCCTTAGCATTTGTTAATTGGGGTTCCCACATGGGAACAGCACAGACAGAAGGCAGACTGTGGGATTTCTGCTCCCTGGAGGAGACACCTGAATGAAGCTACACAGATCCCAAGATGAAGGGCTGTGGGCTGAGGGCCTCAGAGTTTGTTTTGGATTTTTTTGGGGGGGGGGTTAAGACTAAATAAGATCCCACACAGGGAGAATCTTGTTCAAGTGCTCTAGCCCATTACAGAGTGAGCCATTACAAAGAACTGAGAGACTATTGAGGGCAGGGTGCCTACAGGGCTGCTTTAGGTCACAATGGGACACCCTGGAATGGCACTCGTCCACAATAAATAGAAAGCTTATTTGTCTGTTTTCACGGATGACTTTAACAAATTGTTGTGCATGGAGTTTTCAAAAGGGAATAAAACAAAAGCAATTACACTAGAATGAATCAGGCCAGTTACATGAATACTATGAATAAAAGATAACAAATTAATTGAAAACACATTGGGCCACATTCTGCCCTAACCTAACAAACCATGAACCCCGCCCCCCACGTTGAGTAAATCAAGATTTTATAGCATGCAGAGTTTTGGCCCCGTGTATTGGGGCTTAATCCTGCATGCTGATTAATTGATGGTGCTCGGCACCTCATGGGATAGAGCTCAAAGTGAGAAAATATCCCACTTACAGCAGGAGAAAATTTTCATGCGTTCTGATTTACTTTTCACGTCTCCTGTTGTTGTTATATTTTCTTTGTCTGCTTCCTCAAAGAGTGTTAGACTTCCAATTAGTACCCTAAAATATAGAAGGAAAGCAGTCACTTTCAGAGAAAGCTGAAACTGACAAAAACAGAGTGCTATAGAAAAATACACACTATGAGCCTGCTTTAAAACTAATTCTGTATGTTGAGCAGGCTTTTGAACCCAGCCATTCTAATGTTCTGAAGGATTCCTGAGTTCTCATCTTCATAAATTGATGAAGCACTGTACATTTCCTTACCTTTTCAGTGCTACTATTCTACACTTGGCTGATCAGAAATTAAGAGATTTGGAGACTGTTTAATACGTTTTCAGATAGTTGTGAAGTGTGCAGTGTTTTGCCAGTTTGCTATAAATGGCCATTATCCTTGAAATCAAGTATGTTCAAGCAATGTAAAAGGTTTTATTTTTAACCTATTGTAAAATTTTACAATCATGCTCAACTGCACATCAAGCTTTCTTATGCAGTTACCCTCGAAGACTACAGATAAAATTTCTGTCCCTATCACAATTGTCCTTTATAGTTAACAAACATTTATTTTCCTGAGTTTTTAGTACATTACAAGCCATTGTGCCTAGTTTATTTACTTGCTTTTGCACCTCCTTCATTAATGTTAGTAGTTTATACTAGGGCTGTCGATTAATCGCAATTAACTCACGCGATTAACTAAAAAAAAATTAACTGCGATTAAAAAAATTAATCACGATTAATTGCACTGTTAAACAATAGAACCCAACTGAAATTTATTAAATATTTTGGATGTTTTTCTACATTTTCAAATATATTTATTTCTATTACAGTGCAGAATACAAAAGTGTACAGTGCTCACTTTATATTATTATTTTTTATTACAAATATTTGCACTGTAAAAATGATAAACAAAATAGTATTTTTCAATTCACCTCAAACAAGTACTGTAGTGCAATCTCTTTATCCTGAAAGTCTAACTTACAAATGTAGTTTTTTTTGTTACATAACTGCACTCAAAAACAAAACAATGTAAAATTTTAGAGCTTACAAGTCCACTCAGTCCCACTTCTTGTTCAGCCAATTGCTAAGACAAACAAATTTGTTTACATTTACGGGAGATACTGATGAATGCTTCTTATTTACAAAGTCACCTGAAAGTGAGAACAGGCGTTCGTCTGGCACTTTTGTAGCCGGCATTGCAAAGTATTTATGTGCCAGATAGGCTAAACATTCATATGCCCCTTCTTACTTCGGCCACTATTCCAGAGGACATGCTTCCATGCTGATGATGCTCGTTAAAAAATAATGCATTAATTAAATTTGTGACTGAACTCCTTGGGGGAGAATTCTGTGTGTCCTGTTCTATTTTACCTGCATTCTGCCATATATTTCATTATAGCAGTCTCGGACGATGACCCAGCACATGTTTGTTTTAAGAACACTTTCACAGCAGATTTGACAAAATGCAAAGAAGGTACCAATGTGAGATTTTTAAGGATAGATACAGCACTTGACCCAAGGTTTAAAAATCTGAAGTGCCTTCCAAAATCTGAGAGGGACGAGGTGTGGAGCATGCTTTCAGAGTTCTTAAAAGAGCAACACTCACATGTGGAAACTACAGAACCCGAACCACCGAAAAAGAAAATCAACCTTCTGCTGGTGGCATCTGACTCTGATGATGAAAATGAATATGCGTCGGTCCGCTCTGCTTTGGATCATTATCGAGCAGAACCCTTCATCAGCATAGATGCATGTCTTCTGGAATGGTGGTTGAAGATGAAGGGACATACGTCTCTTTAGTGCATCTGGCACATAAATATCTTGTGATGCCGGCTAGAACAGTGCCATGTGAACGCCTATTCTCACTTTCAGGTGACGTTGTAAACAAGACGTGGGTAGCATTACCTCCTGCAAATTGTAACCAAACTTGTTTGTCTGAGCAATTGGCTGAAGTAGGACTGATTGGACTTGTAGGTTCTAAAGTTTTACATTGTTTTATTTTTGAATGCAGTTATTTTTTGTACATAATTCTATATTTGTAAGTTCAACTTTCATTATAATGAGATTGCACTACAGTGCTTGTATTAGGTGAATTTAAATATACTATTTTGGTTTTTACAGTGCAAATATTTGTAATCAAAAATAAATATAAAGTGAGCACTGTGCACTTTGTATTCTGGGTTGTAATTGAAATTAATATATTTGAAAATATAGAAAACATCCAAAAATATTTAAATAAATGGTATTTTATTATTGTTTAACAGTGCAATTAATTCCTATTAATTTTTTTAATCGTGCAATTAATTGTGATTAATTCTTTTAATCGCTTGACAGCCCTAGTTTATATACTCTTGCTGTCAGTGTGTGTTATGTGCCCCCCTCTGTGCCCAGTCCACAGAGGATGTGAGTCTGTTACACCCAGGAGCTACAGAGCCTGCCTCTTTCTTTAGCTCATGCTGTAGAGCAGGGGTCGGCAACGTT